ACGCCTTTTCGCGTACAGCATCTAGTTTCATTACAGTGGTTGCTATAGCACCTCGGGTGTTCCCCAAAGTCGTAACAAGCCAAAGTAGTATGGAAGAGCCTATGTTACTAATATATAGGACAGCTGAGAGGCTATTAGCGTGACCTGAAACCAGTGCCGCAAAGTGGAAGTGCAACCTGCGGCGATTGAATTGCCCGTATAGTTAGTGTCGAACCACTACTTCCTTCTATGGGACGGGTGCCTACAGTCAAGTTTTCTGTTTTTTTGTTGCCATCCTCTGGTTGAACTGCTTTTCACGAACCTTTTCATTGTTCATGCTTTCCCATCATTCACATCGCATCTGTTTGTTTAACCTCCACTTTTGATCGTGTTCGTTTATGCTCAAATGTTAATGTTCTCCTGGTAATCATGATTAAGATCAACAAGTCCAAAAACTGTAATGTACTACACTTATCACCGTCGTAACTTTTTTGCTATAGTTTTTTTCTGCACAATTGATCAGTTTATTGTTAAAGAAAGTTACGCCTAGCACTATATCTCAGCGCGACACATCAAATAAGGCCATTGCCTTTTTCCTCTAAGACTAATCTTCGTCGGAAGTCACGCTTATTCAAATCAGAATACTATATCCTACTGCTCTTTTTGGTACTTTGAGGTGTCTAAAATTATCAATAACGTTTGATCGGCCAACATCACTGTCATTGTCAGTAGGTGAATGCGAATTTGATGCTGTCTAGTTACGATCTTAGCGATGGCACTGTGCGCAAATGTTCACGGTGTGTCACTAATTAGCGATCCTAACCGGCTCTCGAAATGCGACTTAGTCCAGATGCACATGCATGTACCAGGATTCGATATGGGGAAGGACTGGGAAAAAAGAAAATAGCGTCAGTCGTGTTAATTCACGGGCAGATGATTCATGCTTCTGATTTTGTGTTTACTCTCCCCCTCATTCACCCCCTGTCTACCCTCGTGCTTCTTCACGGCGTTCCCAAGCCTCATTTCAATACTCGGATAGCATGTGAACCTGCAGCAAGTGATATTTATTTCAAATGTCCCTTCAATCACACCAAGCTAGCTTCCAGGGCTGTGTGCCTGTGTACGCGCCTCTCCACGTGGAATCGTGCGCACGTGGGGGCTCCGTTGTCTACTCTACTTTCTCTAAATTACGTTTGTGTAATATGGTCAAAAGTTTACAGCACTTCTTCTTTGCGTGGGACAGGGCCATAGTTTTAGTTTCACAAAACTTTGCCATCTCCGTCTCACCAATCGGTGTGTTATAGCGCCCTTCGTTCGAATGGCTGCACGATTGAGGTTCTTGGTTCATGAACATCTGGCAGTTGGTGTGATTATGCTTTATGTCTACAAGACTGAATGTAACGTTGCCTCCTTTTTATTACACAAACGACGACGATGGCTCATGAGTTAACCTGCACATCGCACCTGAGAGAGTAATTATTGTTGTGGGCGTAGCGTTTGGAGGTTATTTTTGTACATCCATAAACAGTGATCGTTTAATCTTTCGGGCTATCAGTTGATGCCTTTACGACCCAGCATTATTGTTCATTTCGCTTCTGTTCCGCTTATCTTATATGTAGCAAAAGTTGTTTTTAGTTGCTGAATTTACCTGGCTCTCTGCCGCTCTATAAACGTGATAGTTTAGAAGACTAGGCAGTATAGCGATTTTACCATCCCAAGGTACACTACAACCTTATTTTCTGACTGATTTGCGTTTATTGCAGATTCTTGAAAGTATGGTTAAAATACTCTTAAGCTACCTTACATCAAGAGTCACCCGCAGCTTAACTATGGGGCTACTTGCCTTACTCTCCTGACTTGTTTGCATCTATGCAGCTTTGCAATTACTTTTTTTCCTGGGGTGGTATTCTCCTGTAATGTCTTATATTTCGCTAGAACGCTTTCCTTTAGCCCTATTTGGTTGCTTGGCTGGTAGGGTCACTACGGGATTTCTTGCGCCAGCGCCAGTCTCAGTTTTGCAATCGTCCGGTAGTGCTAGCGGATATCTGCGCTCAAGTGGGCAATGGGATGGCTTACCTAGAGCGTGAGCAGTTCGTGCATCGAGACCTAGCCGCGCGCAACTGTCTGGTGAAGTCAGTTTCACGCAATTCAGTGGTAGTCAAGGTGGCCGACTTCGGCATGGCCCGCTTTCTCCTCGACAACGTCTACGAGCCCAGTGCTGGCACTAAGTTCCCTGTCCGTTGGGCCGCTCCTGAGGTCTTCCAGTCCGTCTATACTGACAAAGCCGATGTTTGGAGCTTCGGTAAGTACGAGCTTACTCCTGCGTTCTAGACTTTGCACCTTCCCCACTCAGGACCTTCTTGTGCAGAACATATTCTTGAGTTGATTATGCAATTCGAACTACTATTCAGTTTTAACTTTAGTAGGAGATGGTAGGACAGTGCTGAATCTCTCGTCAGCTAAAATTGAGATCCCGACATTGATTAGAACATCAATTGTGGGCCTTCAAAATGTAAAACGAATCGAAATCGCGAACATCTTACTTGGTTGGCTTATTTGCGTGAGACAAACGGGAAGCGGCGATGACTAGGAGTCACGCTGTGGTCACCATCCCGCGCTCAACCATCTTGAAGTCCATGTCTCTAATGATGGTTTTATACGACACACCAGAACCACATCAAACTGCCGTGCAGTTCGGAACACAACTATTAGTGCCTGTGGTAACTGGTATCATGCTAACTTATTCCTTGGGGTCGCAATGCAGCCAACAGTCAAGCACATGATCATGCATTTTTTGAGATAATATTTTTCCTAGTTTTTTAAATAACAAATAGCTGGATCATCATCGTTAGCAGGGGTTCACCCGTTCGAATTTCTAATCGGTGCGTTAGCGTTAGGGCTTCAATGCCTATTTCACTTGCGTGACTTCCTTTTTTATACGCCTGGCCGTCTAAGGTTCCATTTTCTCTCCGTTATTTTAAAACATCTGCTTTTTTGAAACAATCGCACCTACCACGCCACCACTCGAATTGATAAGAGTCGTGTACCTCGTCATAGGGAGCGCACTATTTGGTAATGAAATGATACGTTCACGCATCATATGGTGCACGTGCGTGTTGATGCCTGTTTTGTCATTCATTTAGAACAACTCCAGTCTTAACATGACAAGATCTGCTACGACATCCGACTGGTCAGTAAACCTCCATCTTACGATACACAACCCGTAGTTTTGCAGTTCTGCTTAAACCTAGGCATTCGTGGATCCGCACAATAACAGGAAAAAGATGTATTCGAGCAGCTATCCGACTTCCATAGTTATTTTTTGGCAATCAGCCTTCGCATCAGCAAATCTTTACTATTGCTGGAGGGAATGGTGGTAGTATCGCCATTGCATTGATAGACATGAATACTTGAATGTTATTATTGGGTCGTTTTTTGGTAGCATGCATGCGTCATTGTCGACAGTTATTTTTTTGTGAATTCAGGCGTTCTTATGTGGGAGGTGTTTACTTATTGCCTGGAGAATCCCTATCACGGGATGAATAACTCGCAGGTGTACCAGTTCATAGTCGATGGCGGACGTTTGCATAAACCGGCCGTCTGTCCCGATCGGATCTACGTTCTTATGCTCGAATGCTGGCAACACGTGAGTTTTGCATTGCTCTGATACACCAGAACGGGCTTGGTCAAATATGTTAAGTGTTAGAATAAAGGAACTTAGGCGATGGCTATGCGAATGGAGGAAAGGAGGGGTAGGTGTTCATTTTCACCACGCAAATGTGATTCAACTGACCCACTCTAAGACTCAGATGCCTTTTAATCAAGCTGCTGTTGCCTGGGCATTAATTATCTATAGTTATTTATTACTAACTGAGAGACGGGATGTCGATTCCTCTGGCAGTTTGCAAAGCTGGCTGCATTAATAGGCTTGACTGAAGAATAAGTTATTGTTGTAAGATTCCTTCCATAGGATCGAAATAGACGTCCAGCGTTCGAATACATCTGTCAGAAGATCGGTGATTACTTGGATCAGAACTGTGAGAACTGATCCTCTTTACCTCGCCGCCTATCAACATCACCATAATCCACGATTGGGGCTGTCAAAGATCGCCTCCTCCCTCTCCTCCAGTCTCCCAACGCACCAGTCGTCCTCACGAAAACTGCTCCTTCCCCTCCTTCGCCAATCCACTCGTCGTGGCCGTCTTCTTGCGCATTTTCAGTTCTATTCGACCCTTTCCTACTCTATCCTCTTCTCCCATTTCTGCTTCACTTCGTTTCTCCTCTATGGAGTTGACTATTTTTCTAGGTCAAATGTGTACGTGAGGGAAAGGAAGGTCACTCCTCTGTCAGCACGCATTCTCTCGCGTGAAGGTCGTGAGGCTGTATATATGCATTATATCTATAAAATTGCCCATTAGTTCCTCAAGAAAGCTGTCCTCATGGGGAAATGCTCAAACAGCGATTCTCTCCCAAGCTGACTGAATGAATGCTAAAGCGACTTTATTCGTACCTCCTTGTACAGCAGAGGAAATAAAGCCATTGGCTAGTTAATTCACCCGCAGAGCGCTGTGTGCACCGCACCATGAATTCATGAGCCGACAAATGTGACAAACAGTTGACTTGAGACCGGTTCAGGCCAACATATGCCGGTGTGCTGGGGAGCAACCTGCTCTCTCAATCGATACGAAGCGCCTTATTGCTTGTGGCAGTCAGTAGTAGGGCCAGAGGGGATCGTAGCAAACACCAGAACAAGGCCGGAGTGGGTGGGGGATAAGTTTATCTCAGTGGAAATAATTGTAAAATACGGGTGGGAGTGTGAGGCTAGAGCAACAGATGAATAGTATCAGGCGAGTGACGGGTCCCATGAAGGGGCCTTTAGTCATACGCCGTCATAGATGAAACCTGTTGCTGCTGAACACATTTCCATATGAGTTTGTTAAAGTAGGCGTTCACGGAAGAAATCTCTAATGGTGTCGGTGTCCCAGGTATCAATAGCATAACTCTCCTGAGCTTCACCTCCTTCTTCTTCTATGAGGATAGCTGTAGGGGGGTGGCCAGACTTGATGATTAATTGGACGTTCGGGAACTCCGAGAGTCTATCCACGAAGGCTTAACATAAACACGTCAAAAGAAGAATAGTACAGGCTGAGCAATCGTATCTAATGATTAAATAAATGCCATGTGAAATCAAAGGAACAAAAAAATACCGAATAAAATGAAAAGTGACGCCCAAAAAGTTACCTTTGACCTGCGGATACCTCCCTAGGGATCATCCACATGCAATTATGGCGCCATAGGGGTATTTCTCAAAGGAAAATAATTAATTAACGCAACATACTCCTGGGCCAGATGCCATGTGTCCCACATCGCAACATGCGAGGCATGATTCTCTCAGATGATTTAACCCGAAGAGGTTTAGTTCTTTACAAAAACTGCAAGACAATTCTTCAGTATACCCCAACCTTCTACATGACTCGCTTGACAAGGCAGTGTTTACCTGAAATAGCAGCTTAAACAATTGACTTACAAAAACTGTAATGTATGTGACGAAAGCGCAAACAAAGTTGTCGGACGGCCTCATGCTTGCAAAAGCGGCGGGCCATAGATGAGGCAGCTGGACCAATCGATCCAAACAAACTTGGCCTAACTTGAATTATTGTTTTGTTAAGGCCACTTTTTAAGGATTATCACACAGTTTTAAACATCACGGATAAATTTAAACCAGAGGCAAGCGATCCTTGGTGTTAAGGAATTAAAAATTGCTTGTGAATTGAAATATTTAGAATAAACTACTAATTTAGAAAGCTGGTTTGTAAACAATACAGTGCCTTATTAAAGTTGAATTTATGTGTCTGGTATAAGTTTGGTAAGGGAATTGTATGCTGCATCCTTTTGGGAACCTAAACTGCCTTTCCGTGCATGAGGCTGGTCAAACTCCCCCTTTGTTTCATAAAATAGGTCTATATAAATGAACATTACTCAACCATATGTCGACATTTTAATTCCTATTGCATAAGCGATCGAAAAAATTGATAAGGCTGAATAATAAGCTCTTGTACCAGTATATGCACTTTGTAGACCCTCATAGATCACTGTAGCATCCCGCGACTTCCCTGAAGACAATTGAATACCTAGTTGTTATGCGACTGTTGTTTATTTTTT